GAAGGAAATTTGAGGGAGGGGAGGGAGAGGAAGGAAATTTGAGGGAGGGGGGAGAGGAAGGAAATTTGAGGGAGGAGGGGAGAGGAAGGAAATGAGAGGGAGGGGGAGAGGAAGGAAATGAGAGGGAGGGGGAGAAGAAGGAAATGAGAGGGAGGGGGAGAAGAAGGAAATGAGAGAAGGAGAGGGAGGGGGAGAAGAAGGAAATTGGAGGGGGGGAGAAGGCAATGAGAGGGAGGGGGAGAAGAAGGAAATTGGAGAGGGGGGAGAAGAAGGAAATTGGAGAGAGGGGGAGAAGAAGGAAATTGAAGAGAAGGAAATTGACAGGGGAGAGATTGACATCCAACACACACACACACAATGCACACCTTGCACACAGAAAACACACAATGCACACAGACACACATACACAAGCAATGCATCCCTTACACACAGCAACACACAATGCACCCCTTACACACACTCAGTGCATCCCTTACAGATGCACACACTGCATCCCATACATACACAAACTCACCTTGCAGCCCTTACACATACAAACACAGATTCACACAATGCATTCCTTACACACATCAGGACATCCCCCCCCACATACACACACCCCTGTGAACAAACTCATTGGTGGAACATACAGGTGGACCCTGGGACCCAGACCTTGAGCTGTGTAAAGGGCCCTCAAAAAAATGGAGCTGCTTCCCGTTCTCCCAGAACATTGATTTTTGTGACCACAGTTACAAACCGCCTCCAGAGAGCCTGTTCTACACCAGACCAGTGGAGCCAGACGGCAGCTAGAGCCCATCATCATCCTCATCTGGTTGTAAGTAGGCAATCTAGTATATTATTCGTGGCACTAATCTCTAATTTACCAAACATTAAAGGGACACTATAGTACCCAGAACCACTGCAGCTTAATATAGTGGTTCTGGTGTCTATAGCCTGTCCCTGCAGGCCTTTTATTGTAAACATGGCAGCACTGTGTTAGTTAACATGGCAGATCATATGGGTGGGGCATTGTGATGTCACATGGGGGGCGGCAAACTTTACTTTTGCCTAGGGCGGCAAAAGTCCTTGCACCGGCCCTGCAGACACTGCATCCCTGTGGGCGGACTCAGGAGGGGGAGGGACTGACGGACTCGGGTGCAGGCACCGGGGGGCCCAGACCTTGAGCTGTGTCAGGGGCCCCAAAATTTCTGATGGCAGCCCTGCTGTAGACCCCACGTCCAGCGTTACAGCTTGGCTGGGAACTCACTGTCCTCCACCCACCCTGGACCCAAGACCAGGATCCAGCTTCAAGTGGGTGAACCTCCCCTACTCCAGAGAGCGTAGCAGGAACAGCTCTTAAAAGAGCTAGTGATTATAATCCCAGGGGAATATGGTGAAATAGCATTCTCCAGGGTAGATATAGCCGTTTCCCCCACACATGAAATGAGAATCTATGTTGAGGGTAAGCATGAACTCAATTTTAATGGAGGCACACTGGCCTTTTATGCAAGTTTCCCAACAAGGGTGACACCCACGTGGACCTTGTTGGGCACAGGGACACAAAGTTAACAAACCAATAAAAACAGTTATACAGTATACACAATTCCTCCCCTCTGCCTGGGAGATAATTAAGGCAGATAATGTATTAGCTTATTTATTCCCAGGCAGAACATTTTTTTATAAAGTCCCATAAGTACCCCAAAACACAACATATCCCTATAAATGTTACATCCCCTGATAGCCCTGATTTAGGTGAACAACATATCCAAAAATTACCCAGATCAGTTCAGGGTTCAAAAATTGTATGTAAGTCATAGTTTTGCCCTGGCGCAGGCATGGTCCCATGCCCAAAACAGTTCAATAGAATCGCGGATAAGTGCTGCTGGGGGACTGACCAGGAACCGTGAGGTTTTCCCGGTCAAAAATAGTTCCAGGGCATTCACCCAAAGTTCCCCTGAAGTCTATTTGCGGTTTTGGTCCATGCGAACAAGATGTTCAGGAGTTTGAAGTGCCACTTCGAAAGTTCAAACTATGGGTATAAAAATCCAAAAAGGCATGAACAGTGATTTAAACCAAATTTTATCACAGGGTCCATAGTCAAAGGTTAGGAGGCTGGCAAGTATGTCGCTCCAAGAACCAGTGGCGAGGTTACTTTCACCACAAATACCACCTGGGCTCTGGTGTCAGAGAGTTTGGTATCTCGATCTCCCTCTCGGTTTTCCACTTTGCTGATGCGTCCATTCAGGCATCCCATTTCGGCCAGGTCCATCTTTCAAACCTTTCATAAATTGAGCAAGAGCTTTTTAATGTTCCCTTTAGATGTGGGAGAAGTAGCTTTTCGGTACACTCCACTCTGGGCTTGTGAGGTGTGAGGCCTCTCTTACTCTTGGGACAGATCGTATTAACTAGAGCCCTGTGCAGGGCTGGATTAACATAGGGGCTGATGGGGCTGCAGCTCCAGGTCCATGCCTTGGAATTGATTTAAAAAAATAAAATATATATATATATATATTTTTTTATTTTTATTTTTTTATATACACTACTCTTAGGGATCCCGTCTGGCCTGTATTTCTCCGGTATTTGAGGCTGCCTAGTCGGTGCCAGTATTGCAGTAATACTGGCAATACAAATGTCAGTCTAAGTATAAACAGAAATGATTCTACAATACCAGCGCCGGCCAGGAGGGGTCGCTGTGCCTCTCTCTACTCGCTGATCCGCGTGGGAGCAGCTCTGCACAGAGAGTCCAGACAGCAGCTCCAAACCTGCAGAGACATGGGGACACAGACAGTAAGGGACACTGTGAGATATGGAGACACAGACACTAAGGGACATTGGGAGACATGGAGACATAGACACTAGGAGACACTGGGCAACATTAGTAAGGCCTGTATTTTTTTTTCATGAAACATGAAAACCCTAACTACTTTTCACATACTCTTGCTTAAGTATGGAAACTTAAGAGGGATGTAGAGGAACAAAACTTGGTAAATTAGTTAAGGTAATGCTGACTTTGGTCTCTCTAACACTGTGGCAAGTTCCATTTCTTCTACACTCACTACATACACATTTTCTCTGCACCAGACTATGTTCCAGAAACTTATGCCTGCTAGTAAGAAGGTAATCAAACAAGTGTACATGTAACTGCTAGGGGACTTAGAAAGAGTTGAGCAAGTTCATCATTAGATGCATTTATGCCACGCTCAGGGTACTGTCAGCATAGAATGCCCTTAGTTGGCCAACATGCATGACTAGCAGACAGCCTGACATGCATTCATGTCAGGCTGTACTTCAAATTCTTTGGGCAGACATGCCCCCTTTTTGGGTATTTTCTCCTCTTTCGGCAGTTCTGGTTACGTGATATGCATCAGTGGCCCACCCTTTTACCCTGTCCATAGACTTCCTGCTTCACTGGACACTGCTGTTAAAGGGTATATATTTACTTGAAACATGAATGCGTGAGATTAGCATAGGGTGTGTGTTTTCTCATAGCTGCATCCTGAGAGTTTCCCTCCAGGACCATCTCCATCAGATACATGATGCTAGGGAGGTAGGACTGTTTTAGTGTTTTTGGCAGATAAGATTTTGTAATTAGGCCCCATCATAATTGCCAGCACCAGGCCCACTGGGCTCTTAATCTGGCCCTGTGGGTTCTCTGCACCATTTTTGGCCGGGCCTGCTGGACTATCGTATATTGGTCATTTAGTGGGATAGTTTCAGATGTTTGCGCCTCATGGCTCGGCAGCGGGGTGAGATATAATAATAATGATGGCAAATTTACCCTTATTGCCATGAATTCCGAATTTGTGGCAATAAGGGTAATTATCTGTGTGGGAAGCCGGAGCTCCACACAGACACGTCTATTCAGTTACACAGCTAGCCACGCCCCCCTATGTTAACATGTTTTGATAACATCTGAGTGTTCGCACTAGTTCTTCCTTAGACGTTCATTTTAGAACTTCCTCAATATTCTTCTGTGTTATTAACCACAGCTTTCTGTCTCATACTACCTCTGACACATTAGTCAAATGTCTGATGTCGCATGCCATCTTTTGTAACTACCTCTTTCAATATAAAAAAAATTGATGAATAATATAATTACAGAGACTTGAACCTCTCAATACGCTGTTTAACGACTGTTGCTCGCTACACTGAACAATTACACAAGATGGGATTCATCTTATTTCTCATATTCTTCTTCCAAAGTAAGACATGCTTATTATAATCTTGCTTTGTCATTGAAGGTGAGAGTATTGCTGTGTTTCACAGAGGATTACCCTTATACCTGCAATTCCTTTTCAGATAATATGAATGTATTCATATACAAACTATATTGCATGCTTAGTATGGTATAGTTACATATGCAATAATATGTATATTATCTTGGATAGCATTATATGATACTCTATTTAAAATGTATAGTGTGCTTTGTATGGTATATTATTATATGGTACTACAAGAATGTTTAAATGGTTAAGTATTATATGGCACTGTAAGTATTTTATATGGTGTTTTGGTATATGGTACTAAGTTTAAACTATATGGCATTCATGCAATTCTAAATATGTAAATTAAGGAATATATGGGTCAGTTGGTATCCAGTATTTCTTAATTTGTTTTACTAAATATTTTGAGGGTGTTCAAAACCACTACATTTTAATAATGAACTGAGTTTAGACATGAAAGGTATTATTAAGCCAAAAACTTATATCATGGTCCTCGGGAAAAATGTGTTTTAAAAATGCTCAGAATAATTTTTTGGAAAATCATATCGACAAATTTTGATAGTAGTTGATTGAATTTTAATTGCAGCAGTTGGGAAATGTTCTGCGGATGGTTACTGTGCTCATCAGGTGAAGACCATACGAGTGACGGAAGGAGGATCTGTTACCATCCCTTGTACTTTAATATATCCCAAAGACTTGAATAGTTTGGAAGTCATTCAGTTTATCTGGCATGTAACAGAACACGGAGAGTGCTTCTCTTTAACAGAAATATATATTCCCAAACAAAACTTCACACATGGTAAATATAAAGGGAGAGTTGCAAGGGAGAAGAATCCTAATGAAAACTGGTCAGAGTCAATCACAATCCAAGGACTGAAGAAGACCGATGGTCCAGTAATCTGTTGTCAAGTCACCATCAGATATAAGTATGAATACAGTCATTTTTACAGTTCATATGGAACTCATCTTCTCTTCACAGGTAGGAATACTTCTATATAATTATTTTGTGATATCCAACTTTTGGGAAATTTTCATTCTTCCTTTTATCTCCAAATGTTTGATTTTGATCTAACAATTGTCATGATGCGAGATGTTTTCGCTCGTCTTCAACAGATGCAGAAATTATCATGAATCTAATCTCTCTTTATCAATGTTTATACCAAAAAAAATGATTTTGGCAGGTAACCACTAATTATCAATATTTCATATAGAGCACTTTCTCTTTTTGCTTTTATTTATTTAATTTTTTTTATTTGATCTTTGGACTTGTCTGTAAGAATGATCATGTATCCTTGTAAAAACATTACATTGACATAACTAAATATTCAGAAGAATTATAAAAATTTCTGTTAGTAATACCGTAGGTGGAATTATTTGGTTTTGCTGATATTAAGATTTGCAACAGGGTCAGTGTTCCAAAAGGGATAAGTCAAATGTCAAATGATTTTGGTAAACTAGAAAAATGGTGAGAGTTTTGGCAAATTACATTTAATGTGGATAAGTGCAAGATAATGCATCTTGGACGTAAAAACCCAAAGGCAGAGTAAAGCATATTTGATACAGTACTTACCTCAACAAAAGAAGAAAAACTACCACAACAAGAGGAAATTAGACTGGCAAAGGTTTAAAAATATTAGTATGTATTACCTTACTGAGAGGGTAGTGGATGCATGAAATATCCTTCCAGTTGAAGTGGTAGAGGTTAACACAGTGAAGGAGTTTAAACATGCGTGGAATATGGCCAGGGACTAATGAAAGTATTTAGAAAATTGGGCAGACTAGATGGGCCGAATGGTTCTTATCTGCCGTCCAATTCTATGTTTCTCTCATATCTGGTAGAATTTTCTCATAAATGGGCGGTTCTAGAAACAAATTATATAATTTAATGAATTGTTTACACATATATCTGTGCCATTTACCCCTGCTGCCACCCCATTCCTACGATGTAATGTGTGCTATTACTGTGAATTGAATTATCTGGATTGTGATATAATTTGATAAATCTGTAACAGAAACTAAAATGGAAAATAACATCACAAGAAAAACAAATTATCACATGTGATTTTAAAAGTTTTATTAAATGGTGTAATATCCGGGTAGCTGAACTATTTCCCTTTAAACAATTGCAAATTATTTAGATTGAATAAGTAACATGTGCCTATTGGGAGAGTAATCAGTTCAACAGTATCCAGTAATGTGGATATAGTGGTTTTTCATAGTTATGGGAATAGGCAACTACTTACACAATGTGAAAATGTGTGCTAAAGTAAGCCATAGAGCAATGTGTATATACTTATTATTAGAACATTAGATTCTCTCTGTCTCTGCAGATGACATATTTGTGGATCAATTGGATGCTGTTCCTGCACTCCTTGGACAAAATGTCACCATCCCATGCTCAATTCATTACCCACATGGAATTAACATTACTGTACAACAAGTTAAATGGAGAATAGGTAAAGGCTGCCCAAACATAGATATATTCTCCTCTGACAAGTCGCTTAGGAATGGGCACTTCTCTGTGGTTGATTATCCTAAGGATTTCTCCCTGCGTATACATAATGTAGAAAAGAATGATCTGGATACTTACTGCTGTTCGGTGAGAACCAGTGAAGGAGAATTTAAAGTAAAGCATGGCACAGAGCTGGTGATTGAAGGTAACATGGATGTAAATATATATATATATATTGTAAGGTATTTAGCATTTTGTAATTATAGCAAAGGTTAAAAAAATATAATTAAAACTCTCCCCAGATTCACTGATTTTGCTTACATTGCTTGAAAGTAGACTCTATTAAGTAGACTCTTTCAAGTAGGAGTTATAAAAACAGGAGTTAAAACAAACAAGGGGTTCAAACTAACAAGGTAATTGTTTTACGGTTCTGTATCTGGGAAATAAGTGTTAGCAAGATTTCTGGCTTGACTCAATGCACATCTAGTTGCATGTATGCATGCCTGGATGTACCGGTCCAGGGTCCATACTTCTTTGACAGGTGTGTGCGAGTGGCTTCTCTGGAAGCTCAGATTGGAGATCTCGAGAAGAAAATTGCAACATTGAGGGAGATCGATAATCTTCAGATGAGTCTGGTGGGGACAGGTAGTGGAGTGGGAGGAGATGAGACAGATGGGTAATAGGCACATACCTGGGTGACAGTGGGGCGAGGAAGCAGGGAGGGAGGGAAGAGGAAAGGGCTAGCTAATCCTGATTTTGTGCAACCTAGCTGAATTGCCCATTTTAGTGAAGATGTTGGGAGCATCAGCTCAGGAGTAGCTCAATTAGAGGGAGCTGTTCTAACAGCCGAGGGAATGGCCCCTCTTGTACGGCTGGCGATTAAAATGTTAGGAAGGCTATGGTCATGGTGGTGGAGACTCTATCATTAGGAGATTAGATAGGGCAATCTGTCACTGTGATCACCTCAACTGGACAGGTTGCTGTCTACCGGGTGCATGGGTCCAGCCTGTTGCTGACAGAGTGGATGGATTACTGGGAGGGGCTGGAGATGACCCAGCGGTCATGGTCCATGTTGGTATTAATGACAAAGTAAGAGGAAGATCCTAAAGAATGATTTCAGGGAATTAGGTAGCAAACTTAAGAAAAAGGACCTCCAAGGTTGTATTCTCTGAGATATTACCTGTGCCATGCGCTATAGTAGAAAGGCAGTGGGAGATTAGAGAGGTCAATGTGTGGCTGACTTTGGCTGACTGACTGGGCCAACTTTGCGCTTGGGTACAACCTTTATAACAATGATGGGTTGCAACTAAACGGGAGAGGGTCTGCAGTGCTGGGGGATAGGATGGCTAGAAAGTTGGAGGAGATTTTAAACTAGTATTTGGGGGCAGGTGAGCTCTTGGGAAATAGTGATCACAATATAGCGTCCTTTGAAATAAACTAAAAAAAAACAAAAGCACACTGGGTATACTAAAACATACGATTTTAAAAAGGCCAATTTCTATAAGTTAAGGGGAGCTTTATAAAATATTGATTGGTATAAACTCTTTAGTGAAAAGAACAATGACGATAAATGGAACATCTTCCAACAAATATTAGAAAGGCACGTTTCTCAGTATGTACCACTGGGTAATAAATATAAATGAAACAAATTGAAACCAATGTGACTTAGTAGAGAAGTAAAACAAAAGATTAAAAGTAGGAAAAGGGCATGTAAATCTGACAAGTCAGAGGCATCCTATAAAAGATATAAGGAAGCCAATAATGCGTGCAAAAAGGTGATTAGATATGCTAAACTTCAAAATGGAAAAATGATAGCCAAAGAGAGCAAAACCAACCCCAAAGCATTTAAGTACATATATTCTAAAAAAACAAAAACTGAAAGTGAAGGTACACTAAAAACTGGAATGGGGGTGTTAATTAATGAAGACCAGGAAAAGGCAGAAATTTTAAATAACCATTTCTCCTCCGTATATATTAAGGAAGATCCCGTAGCAATAGATGTGTATATGATTGCTGCTAAAAACTTGGAGGAACATTGTAATTGGCTAACTCAAGACAAGGTGCTGCAGCAACTAAAGAAAGTTAATATAAACAAAGCTCCAGGGCCTGGCGGTATTCATCCACGAGTACTTAAGGAACTAAGTGTAGAAATAAGTGAACCTTGTTAGGACTGAGGAGCTCCCAGGAAAGATTGCCGCCCAGCCCCTGGGAACGCAATGAGCTAGTTCCCCTATGCATTCCCCTGTTCCAGCTAGGAAGCAGTCCCTTTGGCGGAGGTACCCAGCCGGGTACAGGGAGCTCCGCTACACATGCCTTCTCCATTCTGAGTTTGCCCCTCCCCCGTCTCCACCCCTTTTTTATTGAGCTAAAGTCCTTTCTGTCCTATCTCCAATTTGTAGATTGCTATGACCCCCTCGCTACTTCTAGTTTAAAATCTCCTCCAACTTTCTAGCCATCCTATCCCCCAGCACTGAAGACCCTCTCATCCTATCCCCCATCACTGCTATAAAGGTTATACACTAGTGAAAAGTCAACACAGTGCTCTAAAAAACCCAAACCCCTCCTACCTGCCCCAAGACTTCAGCTACGCATTGACCTCTCTAATCTCCCTCTGTCTTTTCACTGTGGCATGTGGCACAGATAATATCTCAGAGAATACCACCTTGGAGGTCCTTTTCTTAAGTTTCCTACCTAATTTCCTGAAATCGTTCTTTAGGACCTTCCATCTTCCTCTTACTTTGTCATTGGTAGCAACTTGGACCATGACCGCTGGATCATAACAAGCCACTCCGGGTAATCCATCCACTCTGTCAGCAACAAACGGGAGACAGCAAACTGTCCGGTTGAGCCAATCAGAGCAACAGATTGCCCTATCTACTCTCCTAATGATAGAGTCCCCTACCACCATGACATGTCTAGCCTTCCTTACATTTTCATCCCCACCTGTACTAGAGGGGCAGTTCCCTCGGCTGTTAGAAGGAACACCTCCCTCTAATACAGCTACTCCGGATCTGATGCTTCTAATATTTTCACTCAAATGGGCAAATCTGCTTGGTTTTACAAAATCAGAACTAGCTATCCCTTTCCTCTTTCCTCCCCCCACCCCGTTTCCTTGCCTCACTGTCTCCCAGCTACTTGCCTGTTCCCCATCTGTCTTATCTCTTCCCACTCCACTACTTGTGCCCACTAAACTCTGCTCAGTGAGCAACAGACTCATCTGAAGATTGTCGATCTCCCTCAATGTTGCAATTTTCTTCTCGAGATCTCCAATCTGAGCTTCCAGAGAAGCCACTCGCACACACCTGTCACAGAAGTATGGACACTGGATGGGTACATCCAGGCATGCATACATGCAACAAGATGTGCACTGAGTCAAACCTATAATCTTGCTAACATTATTTCCCAGATACAGAACAGTAAAAAACTTCCTCCTAGTTTAAACCCCTTGTTTCTTTTAACTCCTGGTTTTCTAACTCCTACTTGAAAGAGTCTACTTAATAGAGTCTGCTTTCAAGCAATTCAATTCATGTAGTCTTCATTTCTAAACTCTTTCACTTTATCACTTTACAATGTTACAATTTCCACCAATATTACTATACAGTGTCCAGGTGGATATCTAGTGTTTAGTAGACCAAGATGATATATATATATATATAAACGTCCCTTTTACTTGTGGATCTAAACCCGAAGATCTCCTCAAATCTTCCACAAATACACAGACATAAACAATATGGTCAATCCAACTCTATGGAAATAAAAAATAACATAGTGCAACTCTGCATGGTATTGATATAATAATGATGTGTGCCATTGGGTCACTCACACTTTAACTGTTAAAACAGGGCATATCAGAAATCATTGTAGATCTCAGGCAATTCTTTGCTTCCAATGTCTGGTCTTCCAGATCTCAGTGACATGGAAAATAAAGTGCATCCAGAATGAAATATAGAAAGATGTGCATAAAGTATAAAAAGCATGTATTACTTACACAAAGGTAAGGATCAATCAGCAGAAAAACAGGTAAATTCTGTCCACAATCTGTCCAACGTGTTTCCTCCCAAAAACAGGGACTTCCTTGGTGACTTTACAGCAGTGAGACAGGTACACAAATGAATAAAACCTAAAAGTTTTCACTTCTAACATAAATATATGATTGTGACTCTGAATCCTATGAAAATGAATATTGTATAACTTAGATTATCATCACCTAACTAATAAGCAATACAGATTATTGATTATCATTTTAACCAATACCAGACACCATGTATAATTTTTCCTCTGCACTCCCAGATCTGTAATGCCATTGGCTTACATGTTCTCTTAACAGGATCAAGAGACAATTTGGGATCAAGTGTTCATCAGCCACAAGCCTCTTCAGCCCACTTAGGAGGCTCGGCCACCATTAAATGTTCATACAGCACATTCAAAGAGAGAGAACCCATGGAAACTACAATTTACTGGACAGCTGGCAGCCCTCAGGGACTTTTTGCATTTCATCCAGCTCAGGATATGATTGATTCAACGTACAGAGGAAGAACAAAGCTGACAAACAATACAGATTTGCAAATAACAGGGGTACAAGTAAATGATGACACTGTATATTATTGCTTGGTGATGCTTAAATTCTGTGTTGTAAATCCCATTTTACATACAAATGTCAACTATGGAATTGGAACCAGATTAAGAATAAGAGGTAATATCAAAATCATCATTTCTGGATAAAGCATACATTTAATATTAAAAAATAGATTTTTTTTTTCCCGTATGATATCAAAGATAGTTTTAGCAGGATAAAAATAATAATTTTAACTGCTAAATTAAGAGGTCTGCCTTGTATAATCTCAGATGGTAGCTCCCATAATGTTACACTGAATTAACAGTTTTCAAGCAAATCTAGAAATTACTTAAATTTGAAATACAGAAAATACTACTGTTATCTTTATTGTATTTTAGGTTTCATTTATTTGTTCAGCTTTTGCTTTAAATATCTGGGAGGGATATACGCTATTATTTTAAATATATAAAGGGAATCAACACAGTAAAGGAGGAGATTATATTTAAAAGAAGAAAAACTACCACAACAAGAGGACATAGTCTTAAATTAGAGGGACAAAGGTTTAAAAATAATATCAGGAAGTATTACTTTACTGAGAGGGTAGTGGATGCATGGAATAGCCTTCCAGCTGAAGTGGTAGAGGTTAACACAGTAAAGGAGTTTAAGCATGCGTGGGATAGGCATAAGGCTATCCTAACTATAAGATAAGGCTAGGGACTAATGAAAGTATTTAGAAAATTGGGCAGACTAGATGGTTCGAATGGTTCTTATCTGCCGTCACATTCTATGTTTCTATGTTTCTATTAAAGGTTATGCAGTTACTTTTGCTTTGCAATAATCCAAACAGATTTAAAAACATTAAGACAGCACTGGCATTAAAACATTTCTATAACTTTGTCATAGAAACAAATACAGGTAAAAAAAATCCTGATTATGGCTAAATGTGAATTAACAGGAGATGTAATATTTAATTAAATGTATTAATATAAAAATAAGTTATATCTTTACCTCCATAGGCCATGAATGTGTACCTTGCACTTCCTAATTTTTGTCTCCCAGTTGCGATATTCCAGTACTGCTTTTATTAAGCCTTTAAAGGTCCTGTACTATGTGGGATGGGCCTCTCATTTAGTCCCTCTGCAATAAGTAGGGGGTCTGACAAAACATCCAGAGGTGAATTGTAGTTTTCAACACGTGAAGACCACTGTTGAAGTAGAGGGGACATATATATATATATATTTATTTATGTATGGTCACTTATCTTTTTGGATCATAACACGTGCTTTGGTTTAAAAAAATGTTTAGAAGATACCTGCAGAAATGTCTGACACTTGATGCCAGTCTGTGCTTATTTGCATACTGAGCTGGGAATTCTGGGTTATTTGTGGAAACATGCTTTCTCAAAATGTATGTGACCAAGGCAGACTTTTCATGTCCAATTTAAGATATGAAGGTGATGCACAAAAGTCATTGTAGCTGCATAAAATTGTGTGGTAGTGGTGGGAGGAGGGGTTATTGTGTTTGGTCTCACCATAAATTATTTTTTTATATATTTAGTTTTCCCTATTGTAGTTTCTCTCTGTAATATTTTATTTGTCCATTTAGTAGATTCTCACTATAATCCTATTGGTGATCAATTTAGTAGTGAATTCTATAATTGCTTCTTTAGTGTCACTTCAATCCTTGTCACAGATATTTGTTGCTATTTGTCTATTCTACCTAACAATATATCTTTTTTTTTAATTATTTAGACTTGATTTCTTCGCAATGGCCTTTCCATGTTATCCTTGCGGTCCGATTCACTGTGTTCTGCATTGTTATTATCTGTGGTATTCTTGGATATAAGGGCATCAATAGTAAGTGAATAAAATCATAAACTGCCTTATAATTTACTGCTCATTCACAATGATAAAATAATAAAAAGGTAACTACTGTCCAGTACAGTAAAACAGAAACAAAAGACCTACTGGTCCATCTCATTTAACTCCTTTAATACGTATTGTCCACTCTACGGACACACATTGTTGAAGTTGTGTGGTGTCAAAAGTTGAAGTCAAAATTATGCCCAAAATGGAAAAATGTTATGAAATAAGAAAAAACAAACAATTAAATACAGTACAAAAGATAAAGCATTTTACCAGATCAAATTTTTTAATTTATGAAAATGTAACATTTAAACGTTTTAACATTAAAACAAGTATTACATTACAAAAGAGAGAAAAATAAAAATAATAAAATAAAAAAGCATTGATAAAAAGAACTCCGAATTACAAAATAATATAGTATTTCAAATGCAGCTTAAAAATAGGTCCATGTATAAAACTAATGGTAATTCACTGATTCCTGTAGCTACGAGGTTACACACAGACCGTATCCTTGGTCTTCCTTGCCAACCCCCCTTGTTAACAAGGTGACTTCCCTCACATTATTTCCAGTACTGCATCAGTCTTGTTGCAGCTGGCCCTGCCTCGCTCAGCCTATACAATGCTTTTCTATAGCAAAGCATGGGGAGCCCATTGCCCATGTTTGGCAAAACGTTGTTGCACAAATCAGCATCTACTCTTAGATATGCATTGGATCACTACACCTCAATGGGCAGCATTCAGCGTCTTCATGCAGAACGTGGAGATGCTGAATGTAGGTGCTACACAATGTGCAGCACTGACCCAGGAAGCACTGAGATAAACAGTCTATTATTTGTCAGTTTTTTAATGACATTAGTATTTTCACCTTCCTCTCTAACTCTATACTGGGTATACCTAAGTGGCTGCCTGGCCATTAGCTCTGATTAAGTTGACATTTAATTCTCTTGTTTGCAATATACACTGTGGGATCGAATATTTATGGACTTTGTATCCCCTCACTCCTTTTTATATATGTCTAGCTGCTATTTATGGGAGATAATTTTTTCTAACTGAACCCCTTTTGGCTCATGTAAGATGTTTGTACTTACATTTACAGATTGAGTGGTTCCCTGATACTTTAATCATTGCATAGCCTTTTTTTTATATATAGCACTTACCATTACCACATCTTCTGGTTCCAGTTTATATACAGAGCCCCTTCAATAAAGCTCTTTTTATCATATATATACCAGTGATGTTTGATGTAGGCTTAATTACCTGGACATAGGAGTTAACCTTACGAGGTTGTTATTTCTTTCATTTGATAGCACTTGATGAGTGACTCTCTCACAAAATCTACTCTGCTACATGTTCAATATTTACCAGAACGTTGTTATAATACTATTCATATATCCAGTAAGTATTGTAGGGTCACTTTAGGTGTACCTATATTCTTGTTTGTGTTTGTTTTCTAACATTTGTGCAATTGCATATTTTAATAACAAAGTGTTTAACCAGGAAAGGTACAATCAGAATATCATGGGGATGTTACTCCCCCCAAATCCATGGGATGTTATTATAGTTATATTGCTGCACTCTCATACACATATTAACTAACTCCTAAATATTCATGGATTAAAGGAAATAGTATAATGTGTAAAACTACACATCCCTCTGCGAGTAAGTCTTGGTCATCAACCATCCCTTCCATGCTATGCATGGGCACTTCCAGATATCTACATCTTGATAAGATCTTGGTTGGGCTCGTGGTGGGCTCAATCCTATGAACACTTTTTATAGATGACATTTTTATAAGGTAAGGAACAGAATAGGAACTTTATTTTGATTAAAAAATGAGAAAGGGATTCAAATTTACCTTTGAGACCCATATGACTAGTGTAATGTTTTCGGATGTGATTTTTTTTTTTTTTTACAATAATGGCAAAATGAAGTGTAAATATTTTTTAAAAAAGGTTGACTTTAATATTTCTATAAACAGGAATTATTGCGGTAAGCAAAAGTGGATAGAGAATGAATCGAAGACTCAACTTTCGTCCTATCAGGAGAAACTGTACAGACATTAATGATTTTCTTCACCAAAGTAACATAATTTTAGAGAGGTTTGAAGAAAGAAAATGCGATCAAAACTTTTTGAAAAAACTTGTGGGTGATGTCTTTGAAGACAACTTTTTTTAGAATGAAGAAAAGTAATAACGACAATAATGGATTATTTTTTTTCTTTTTATTACAAAGTATAATACTAAAAGTAAGGAAACTTGAGTCTCTTCTAAAGAAAAGCTGATTCTAATTTATGCCCTTTTAAGATCGATAATAATGTGAATATTTTTGTGCCTTTTTTAAGAACTCTTTACGAATATGAACAGATATTATTTTGCAGTTTTAATTATTTTTTTTATTGTCATTATCTGCAGTTTTATTTGGATAAATAAATGATAACATTGTTTGAATAAAGTAAAACTTTACATTTTAGGTAGTCCTGAATGAATAAGTCTAGTAGGTGTTTAATTTGATAATGATCTATGGTGTAAACATGGAAATGTCTGGGTTGTAGTTTTTACCCTGATGAAGTCTCATATTCAGGTGAAACACCTAGGCAATATTGTGGCTCTGTAAGGAGAAGGCAATTGCCGACTGAGCCCGATTTAAGAGTGAGGATGAGGATCCATGTCTCTGCAGAGGAAAGTATACACTAGTATGTTTTCCTGGCACTACAGTGGTCCTTTAATGTTTACAAGCAATACAATCTATAAATATAAGAACACACAGAAACCCAAAAATGGTGTAGTATATTAAAACACCAAAAGTGCACTTGTGACAAATTGCACTCACAGGATAATAGTGAATTGTAGGCATAAAGGAATCTTTGGGATTTAGAGAAGCTCAAAATTCTTCATTTTCGACCATTGTTTATGAAGTAAATGATGCTAAACACGACACGAATAACCTGGAAAATGTAGGCCGATCATTTGGTTGCCATGGCAATATGGATTTTTACAATATACGCAAGATGCGTTGCTATTGGATCTTACTCTAACCACGTGCGTAGAGCAGCTCAACAAGACGCCATTAATGTTTAAATTAATATAGAGATAGCAGCATGCATTGTTCTTAAGAGACACTACAGTCACCAAAACAACTTTAGCTTAATGAAGCAGTCTTGGTGTATAGATCATGCCCCTGCAGTCTCACTGCTCAATTACTCGCTGTTTAGGAGGTAAATCACTTTGTTTATACAGTCCCAGTTACACCTCCCTGCACGTGACTTACATCACCTTCCTAAACACTTCCTGTAAAGAGTTGTCAAATGTTCCTTTATTGCTAATTCTGTTTAATTTAGAATTTCTTATATCCTGCTTAAGAAATATTAATCCAATCCAGGATTTAGGAATTAAATCAATCCCTGTAGAATACTGGGCTGCTGGTGTGCCTTGAGAACTAGATTGTGAGCCACTGCACTAAACAATTGAATGTGGGAGAAAAATAAATGAATGCGAGCACAATATATTTAATAAATACTGACCACATGAAAGTGTGTATAATATGTCAGAAAACCATATACACATGGAAATTTGATCACCACCATAAAAATGTTGTGCTCTGAATTTCTAATATGTAATGGAATGTGGAAGGAGATGCAAAGTTGGTTGAGGTGTGCCGAAACCAATGTACGAGTAGGCCTGTAAGAAAAAGAAGGCCCACAAAGGTGAAATGTATATGTAAATGGGTGTAGGTGGGTGGGGACAAACAGCTTGAACGGCAAAGGTGAATAGGGGGGTAGGAGTTTAAATAGGGGTAATAACTTCTCCCACAAATTCAGGCCAAATGGCCTTTTAACTTGTGTTTGGAATTTCTAATAAGTAATGGAATGTAGAAGGAGATGCAAAGTTGGTTGAGATGTGCCAAAACTAACGTACGAGTAGGCCTGTGATAAAAAGAGAGCAAAAGGAGGATTCAAAGTAAACACACTTAATTGCAATTTACAAAGCAAGATTTCTGAAGGCTTGTCGGAGCTCCCTCTCTGGTCGAGGTATATAAGTATTATAAATTGAGGATTTCCAGCGGCCCAGTCTCTTAATGATGTGGACTGGTTTGTTAGAGCTTGAAGCGCCTATACTGAAGGAGTGACCAATGAAGGAAGCCGGGTTGTAGTCCAACCTAGATAGTAGGATTCTGACGTGATAAATTAATTTACCTGTGATGAGTGGCTGCCCTTGGAATAGTAATAGTGGAGTGTCATGTGAGTGCGTGTGGTGAGACAACGAGAGTATGTCAAGTATTTTTGACTGGGCACCAAACATTCTCGGTAGGGAAGAGGGGGAAGCTAGTTGGATAAGTGGTATGATGGGTTTTTGTAGAAGGTGATGAACGTATGTAGTAATCTTCTACTTTCTTATGTTTAAGGCATAATGCAGTATCTACTTAACGTATGACTGTGAACTCCCTAGGTCTGAGGAAACCATAGAAAGCCATAAAGATGGCGGCTTTAATGACAAGGTTTTTCTTACAGTCAAACAGGGATTTGACCAGTAGGTCGCTATAGCCTAAATATAGGACCATCTATCGGTAATCTGGTAATGCCAGGGAGAACTGTAACCTTATAAATACCCTTGAGGATTTTCTTAATAGTATTAGAGTAAATGAAGCCAACAAAGAAAAAACAACAAAAAATATGTTTCTTGATGCTGTGCGTCGTTTAAAGATAGTTAGTCTGTTAGTGAGCACTTCTCCTTTGCTGAGATACTCCATCAACCTCACAGGTGTGGCATATCAAGATGCTGATTAGACAGCATGATTATTGCAAAGTGCTTATTTGCTAATGGTGCTTATTTGCAAATTGTGTGTTTGTTGCTTTAGTTAGTTTGTGTGCCAATTCCTGAGTGTTTATTTTTAAATAAACATTTGTTAACCCCTTAAGGACCGAGGACGGTCCTGAACCGTCCTAATGGTCAGAGCTACTTACCTGATCGCCGTCGCTCCCCCGGCGGCGATCAGCGTGGCTCCGGTTGTGGGGAGACTGCCTGCAGCCCAGGCAGTCTCCCCACGGCAGATTAGGACCCCTGTGGCCATGTGATCGCTTAACACAGCGATCACATGGTCACAATAGGTGTCCATAGTGCTGCCTGCAGGGGGACTGCCTGTGCTGACAGGCAGTCTCCCTGCTAGTGTAAAATCAAAAAAAAAAATAAAGTTAATGTTAATAAAAAAAAATAAAATAATTATATATGTGTATATATGATATATAGACATATAATATATCTATATAATCTATGTCTATATATCATATATATAATGCCATACTAAGTGTATTTTTATATTAATATGTACTTATATTAATATAAAAATACACTTATAATTAAATTACACACGTATATATATAATATATATAATAACTATATATATTGTATATATATATTATTATAAAATATAAATAATAAGTAATTTAAATTAAATAAATTTTTTTTTAAATAATAATAAAAAAAAAAAAAATTATATATCTATATGAAATTTTATTCTAACTGTATTTTAAAATTAATATATATATATTTATATCAAAATACACTTAGAATGAATTTGTATATATATCTATGTATATAAAAATAAATAAAAATAATAAGAAATATACATACGTCCATATACAAAATTACATAAATAATTATATAAATATACACGTAGACTTCAAATATATAAATATGCATATATATTTAAATTCTACGTGCGTATTTATGTAATATTTTTACATAATTAAGTAATTTTATTGATTGCAATTTGAGGGACCTGCCTGCCAACCCAGGCCGAAAGTCCAGAGAATTTAATTTGCTAGCACTGTATTTTACCCTGTAACGTTCTACGACACCCTAAAACCTGTACATGGGGGGTACTGTTTTACTCGGGAGACTTCGCTGAACACAAATATTAGTGATTCAAAACAGTAAAACATATCACAGCGATGATATTGTCAGTGAAAGTTACTTTTTTTGCATTTTTCACACACAAACAGCACTTTTACTGATGATATAATTGTTGTGATACATTTTCCAGTTTTTAAACACTAATATTTGTGTTCAGCGATGTCTCCTGAGTAAAACAGTACCCCCCATGTACAGGTTTTATAGCATTTTTGAAAGTTACAAGGTCAAATATATGGGTCAAATATTTTTACATTGAAAATGGCCAGGTTGGTTACGTTGCCTTTGAGAGCGTATGGTAGCCCAGGAATGAGAATTACCCCCATGATGGCATACCATTTGCAAAAGAAGACAACCCAAGGTATTGCAAATGGGGTATGTCCAGTCTTTTTTAGTAACCACTTGGTCACAAACACTGGCCAAAATTAGCGTTCAATTTAGTTTTTTTACTTTTTTCACACACAAACAAATATGAATGCTTACTTTGGCCAGTGTTTTCGACTAAGTGGCTACTAAAAAAGACTGGACATACCCCATATTGAATACCCTGGGTTGTCTACTTTAAAAAAAATATGTACATGTGGGGTGTTATTCAGAGATTTATGACAGATAATAGTGTTACAATGTCACTATTGATAAATTTTAAAAATGTATGTTTTGAAACCGCAATATCCTACTTGTACCTATAGCCCTATAACATGCAAAAAAAAGCAAAAAAGCACGTAAACACTAGGTATTTTTAAACTCAGGACAAAATTTTGAATCTATTTAGCAGTTTTTTTCATTCGCTTTTGTAGATGAGTAAAAGATTTTTCAAGTAAAAGTCAAAAAACATGTATTTTTTTTCAATTTTTCATCAGATTTTTGTATTTTTTTTAAATTAAAATACATGAGATTATATAAATAATGGTATGTAAAGAAAGCCCCTTTTGTCCTGAAAAAAACAATATATAATTTGTATGGGAACAGTAAATGAGAAAGCGGAAAATTACAGCCAAACACAAACACCACAAAAGTGTAAAAATATGCCTGGTCGCAAATGTAAAACATCGCAAAAACAGTCCAGTCCTTAAGGGGTTAAACGACCACTATAGTCCACTT